TAAGGGGGTCCACACTTTGATCCCTCCCACTTGTAACTGCATAACTGAAAAATAAAGTTGACAACACTTTATTTTGATAGTTCACTGTAGATGTTTTGTAGATGCTCAGTCTGTCTATAACTTACATTCAACTAAATATATATTAAATGCAACTGAAGTTAAAATTGAGTGTGATAGATTATATTAAATCTAGCCTTAACGCTAACCTTAACTTCAACCCTAAACCTGCATCTACTCCTAAACTTTTATCCTAACAGTGTTGATAATCAACTAGAAAGTTTGTTAAGAATTAAGTATCTGTTTATCACCTATAGAGGACCCCTTGACTTAATCTGCTCTAATGTGCAGGGAAGAGAAAGGAAAAAGGAAAAGATTTCTTACAATGACGACACAGATTAGCACAGTGTAATCGCCCCACTTTCCATAATTGGTTCTTGGCTCGGATGTACAGATCTAGGGAAAATTTAACCCATTAAATATCCCAGAAACCACCGCCAGGTCCAGACGTTCTATTCCTCACTTCTGTAACTTAAGAACCGCTCAGCCGTTTTGTATTGTTTTCCATGTAGTTACTGAATAAGAAGATTTAGGATGTGATACATCTGGGAATTTGAGAGGTTCATTGGCACAGAACCTTGTTGACATTGTTTAAAATCAACATAAGAAGGAAATCATAACGCATTTTCATTCCGTATCATAATGTTTATCTAAGTGAAAGGCAGTATTAAGAGGGTCTCAGAGTTTTCTGTCGAACATAGGTTTCAGGAGATATTTCCATTTAAGTTTGACCTTAAACTTCATAAAGAATCTTCACACTCAAACATCTCCTTCAGAAAACGATTCACTAAAGAACCATAGCCACCTTTTTTTAAAGTGTTGTTGTTGAATAATTCAGAGTAGCTACTGAGTAATAAGTCTTAAGAATAAAATAAAACTAAATAGCCTAAGGTTCAAGGGATCAAGACCTAGATACAGTTTTGGTCACAGAAGCTGTCATCCAACTATTCCCTATTCTACATTTCCGCAAACTAAGCGAGATAATGCAAAATAAGACAGCAGTGCCTGGCCAGCTGGGCCACAGGTGGGTCAGATCCCCCTTAACTTAATCTGCTGTGATGTGCAGGGGAGAGAAAGGGAAAAAACATTTCTTACGATGACGACACAGATTAGCGCAACGTAATCGCCCCACTTTCCATTCATTGCAGCCCTAAATGCCAGCCGTTGGCTAATGAGGCTGCAGGATATGGGTCAGTGGGAGAGAAGAAAAGAGAGAGGGAGAGCAGGGGTTTAACACATTCCTGTCAATCAGCAGAGAGAACGTTTCAGTACAGCCAGCCATAACTCAGCTTAGAGCAGATCTTTATAGACAGCATGTTATTAAAACACCTAACACAAATTTCAGGGTGTCAGATTTTGTAGTAAGCATTGTCACCTTTTTTTTTTTTTCTTTTTGTATCTGTATCCTGATAGAAACTAATTGAACCCTACGCTCTCAGCATAAATATAAAATATACTGCTATACAGTACCAAAAAAAGGTTCTGTGACAATAGTGGTACCCTTAAAGAACATGTTCAAGAAAAGGAACTATTTATGCATTCAAATAATTCTTTGAGTTGCCTGGATTCTCCAACACAGTGTGAATTCTTTATTTTAAACTCCAATTTTGCTTTATTGCTGTGTTTTATCATGCTGAGTTTTGTTGCTGAACATCGTGCCTGACAGCGTCCCTTATCTGTGGCAGTAAAGCATGCCATTTTGCTTAAACTTATTTGTTAAAAAATGTAATTTGTGCATTAAAATGATATACTGTACTGTGCAAAAGTCAAGACCATCCTTTATTTATTTTCCTCTTTTTATATTTTATTAATTTCCAGTCAAAACAACTGTTAAATACAAGTTGTCCATTTTTCAGGAGATTTTTCTGAGGAAATTAGATATCAAGATAATCCACTTGCATAAAGAAGGTAAGGGTAAAAGGAAAATAGAAGGTGAATGTCAAAGTAAAATTCAAATACGATTAAAAGACATAGATAAAATGGGATTCCTAACAGGTCCGAGACCTGGTAGACCACCAAAACTGTCACTATCAGATAAACAGAACTAAAGCTTTCATCTTTGAGAGAGAGGAGAAAATCAAACTCCACTCTTGCTTCAGATCCGAAAAGATCCACAGGTGTTGTTTTCCATCCTTCCACTGTGAGAAGACTAAAATGATGTGTAGCTGTCAAGAAGCTGTTACTGAAAAAAGACAATAGACAGAAAAGAAGAAAAATTGCTAATCAAGCAAAGATGCTGCTGATGTTCTCAGAACAATGGACCGACCACCCCAGAGTCCATATGCAAACAATGATGTTTATGACCAATTATGACAGCAGTTACACCTATAGGTATATATTATATTCCATCACTCTGAAACCATGTAAGATCAGAAAAACCTAAGAAGATTGATTCTTCTTGATGGTGTATGGCTGGGTTTCTAATCTCCCACCTTACAGCTGAGAATGTGAACCACATCTGTGCATCACCTGTGCAGACCTTGCAGTATCTGAGGGGACTCTGAAACAGCAGGAGAGACGTCGCATTGTTCCTGTGTCAGCGGCTAAAATAGGTCATAAATAGTGTCATAAATAAAAAAGAAAACGCAACAGAAGTTGTTTGACATGGTGATATCATAGTTGCAGCTGCTACATTGTCAAAACACACACCAGCTAGTCAGTCTAAATGAGCAAAAGATGTTAAAGGAATAAGTATGAATGAAAGCTAGTGAGGGCCAACTGCTCAGAGCCACACTGTGGAAGGCCTTTTTAAAGGAGTACAGCATTTTTTAATCTGATCTCTCTGCCAGACTGGTAAAGTGCAGCCGATAAACACAGAAAATAAAATTTGACGTGTTTCCTTTTACTAAGCAAAAAACGTGTTGACTGAAAATACACTTCTAATAGAAGTTAGTGGGCAGTTGCTTCAGCGGGTGATCAGGCTGAAAAATGCTGGAGTATTCCTTTAAGACCAGAACAACAGAATTGCAATGGCAACAGTAGCGGAAGGAGAAAAAGGGTCATAAAAAGGACAATCGGTTGGTAACAAAATCTGTTCCACTGATGGCAACAATGACGACGTATAAATCTGTTGCATGCAGGATGGATATTGGGCCTACAATTGAATAGGGAGCATGGAGGGGCATGGAGAAGAGGTGGTTCTTAATCAGCTCACTACAGGCTGAATGTCATTTGTGATTGGCGCTGGTCCATGACCACACTTGTCCTCTACAAGCCGAGTTTGGATCACTTCCTCCATCCTGAAGAAACTGTTGCTGTCCCATCTCTCACAGTATAAAAGCATCAGGAGAACTGTTAATAGCCCATGTCTCAGTTAACCGTCTTTACTACATGGCAAGCCTGCAGTATATGGATCATTCTACCAAATTGTCTTTTTACCCTATAGCTTAACTGTGTTTAACTTTACATTTTGTCGCTACCTAAACAAACATAACATTACTGAAACTTAGCTAATTCTGAGCTCAAAAATTTAGGGATTAGCGTTTGAGACAGACCACCTCCCAATAGAAAATACCCTTATTACTATCTCAGTGCCTTGGGTTTAAATATATCATAACATAATCCTTGTAAATATCTAAGGTCTAAATATTCTTCTTCTTCTTTTACTGTGGGACTGCAGTGTGAACTAATTCGATAGAATTCCATATAGCTTTATGTAAAGAGGCAGAAACAGGGCAGTAGTACAGAAATTTCCTATCTTTAGTCGTAAGTTAGGATTAAGATAAGCTTTTTTACAAATTCTTATAACAGAAGCAAAACCTCTTAGTTTAGGAATGATATCTCAAGTTCGGAAGTCCTAAACTACTCAGACCAGATTGATGATCAGTTGTGATGTCTGTTACCAAGCAACTAACAATATCCACATATTTGAGACATAACACAAAACAGAATGTAAATTATAGTAGACAGCTACTGTTGTGAAATTGGAAAAAAAACAAATTGCAATTAACTGGAGGTTTTAACAACCTCAGTCAAAAAAGCTAAGAATATTCTGACTATGTCTCCCCCCTGCTATTTAACGGGTTTGTTGCCAGTTTCACTTTCCATTTTCCAAGGCCACCCTCCAGTATCCTGCCTCCCCTGTGCGCTGAGCGGTTTCTCTTAATAAGCTGCCATGTGTTCAACTTCATCTCCTTGTTATCTGCTACCATCACAGCAATATTATATTTGGCAAGTTCTCACCAACATTAGCACGTTTTGCAATTTGAATAAATGCAATGCCACTATGCTAGATAGTGGCATTGCTAGTAATCATGCTAGTAATCATGCTATGCTACCTGTCACATTTGCCTAAAAATGTTCTACTTTTAAAATTAAAAGACTAATGGTAGGAACAGAAGTTAGGACACCGTTGGGTTGATCCTAAAATTAGGTCGTTATTTAAGAAATGTTGCCAGGTTAGAATGCTTCTGTAATCATCTTTTCTTATCTGAACTTTTGAAATGTTATTCAGTAATAGTTACTGTCGTAACTAAAATCCCATGGTGACAAAAACAGATAAGATTTCAGAGATGGGATGTTTTCCCCAGGTTATCAAATATGACCTTGTAGTTATTATTTGTACTTATATATCGGCCAATGACCCCTCATTTATCTCAGTGTGTAGAGAATAAGTCTAATAATGGGACCAGGCAGTCCAAAAGTCTAAAGCCAGGCATTTTCCAAATGAGGATTTGTGGAGTGTTTAAAAAAAAGAATAAACTGTTTGGATTTCAGCAAACATGCTCAAAAATAGAGCCATTATGAGCAGCATAAAGTCACCCAAAACCAGATTTCCATCTCAATCCCAAAAACCCATAAAGAACAATCTGGAAAATGTTGTTCATTGCAACAGCACTGAATGACTAGCTCGACTGTCTCTTGTACTTAAGGTTTTGGCTGCAGCCTTGCTTTTGAAATGTATGTAGTTCTCCTTACTGAAGGGCCACTTTGCTGTTCAACAGTGCCCAAAGATGGTCTGAAGAACCAGGCGGCGTTTGAGGAAATGAGGGTGAACTACATCAAGGAGCTGCGGCGTTCGGTGGGCAAGGCCACCAACAACTCAGGCCAGACGTGGCAGCGTTTCTTCCAGCTCACCAAGCTACTAGACGCCATGCATGATGTAAGTAGAAAAAACAAGGCTGTTCTCAAATCATCTGCACTGATTACTTTCTTATTGATCCTACTATCAAAACAATTCATCACATTTTCATCACAAAAGAGTTCTTCTTTAATAAGAAGTTCAAACAAGTAATATAACAAGTTAACATAACGCTAACACGCAAGAAACAATAGTTCGCCAGCAAGAAGCTGTCAACACTAGTTTTTATTCATTGTTAATCACGTTACCATTGTTTGAACCAAGTTTCTGGATGTCATTAAAGCAGAAGAACCAAAGCAGTTCTTGGATCACTGTTATTATCAACCTCTTTATTCAAAAGAAGACAAGCTTGTTCAGAGGATCTAGTTCATGAAGCAAGACTTCTAATCAGACATGGACAGTTTGAACAAGCAAAGCTAACATAACTAACGATAAATGAAACTCACTGTTTCCAAATTAGCAAGTCAGGCTAAGCGTTAATGCTAGCTGTCATTCATTGTTGGCCACATTAGCATTGCTTGTTTGAACTTTCATTTGAAGTTAAAGGTCAGTTTTGCTCAAAAGGAGAACTAAAGGACGTCCTGATTGTAAAGTCTTTACTTTGTCCAATGTTTTCCAGCTAACAAAGAAGTCCTGCTACCTCCAGGTTACAGAATACATGCACAAAGTTATAATCTTGCATAATTTGTTGAGTACACTGGGCCACTATAGATTAAATGGCTCCCTTTGGTGTCTCTCTGCAACCTTATGTCCAAATTGTCATTCCTATTGCAACAAACTATTAATCCCTGTCATGTGTACAGTGGACTTTTCTAAAGGCTAGTCATATTGTCAATAAGTGGAGGCTCAAGAGAACTTCAAGTGGCATTAAGCTTTGCAATTAGCCAATCCTGAAAAGTATAAACTGTAAAGGGTACAGCTTAAAAGTTTGGTATGCTTTTTTAAATGTTATTTTTTATAATGCAGCGCGCATGAGGTTTTTTCCACATTTTTAATAACAGATTGAGGAAACAATTATGGAAGTGTCACCATGATTGATAGGTTTCTTCTAAAGGCATTCTGCAATGGGCATTATTTGTGCAGGAGCTCATTCTAATTTAAGAGTTTTTTTCCAACATAGCTCAAAGTTAAGTGGGGTAACATCATTCAGTTTTACCCTTAAAGGTATTCTAACGAGTCCCGAGTGGCGCAACTGTCTAAGCATTGGCCCTATCATCAGGAGATCGCAAGTTCGATCAAGAGAGAGATCAAGAAAGCACAATTGGCCTCGCACTCTGGGTGGGTAGGATGCCCCCCCATCACTCAGCGCTTTCCTAGCCAGCGCAGGCGTCTGTTAGCTGACGTAACCGATGTGGCGGTTGGCGCTTTCCTCCGAGCGTGTTCGGCAGTCTAATGACGCTGCGTGAGCGGCTGTTCGAAAAGATGCGGTGGTGCTTCACAGGTCTCGGTGGAAGCCTGTGCTAGCCTTCACCCTCCTAGTGCTGGTGGTATCACGTAACTGGGGGAGTCCTAATTAGTGGGTAGAACTGGATATGAGAAAATGAGGCAAAATTATAAAAAAGTATTTTAATAACACATTTTAGTATTCGTACTCTTAAGTTATGCCGGTACAGGTCAGGTTCTAATGGAATGCCCACAGGCAATAGTGAATTAGATGCTAGGGGGTGAATGCTGTGTTTAATGCTTTGAGACAGTCAACTTGTTTGAGACAATAGCAAATGAATAATTTTTTATTCATAGAAAACAATGTTCTTATTTGGGGGTAGTTGATTTTTTTATTGCATATGATTTTAGTTACATCACTGACTGCTGGGATTATTGACAGAAAAAAGAATCTAACTAAGCTTTCTTTCCCCCAATTCCTGGACAGCTGGTGGGGAACCTGTTGGACTTCTGCTTCTATACTTTCCGCGAGTCGCAGGCTCTGAAGGTGGAGTTCCCTGAGATGCTGGTGGAAATCATCAGCGACCAGATACCAAAGGTGGAGTCGGGCATGACACACATCATTTACTTTCACAAGAAGTGACTGGCAGTGGATGAAAGGAAGAGAGGAAGCAGTGGATGAAAGAAAGAGGGAAAGAGAAGAGAGGACACCCAGCCCTCAGAGAGAGAGAGAGAGAAGCCTCAAGGTGGCCAGCTCGCCCGCTATGCACAAAGATAGACGGATATATGCCATCGGAAACGCAGAGGAAGAGAAGGAAAGTAGTGTTGTCTGTAGCCAGCCAGTCGGGGAGAACTCGCTTCGTTTCTCCTCGCCCCCAAAGACAATGCTGACAATGTTCCTTCTATGGATATGAAGCCATACATTTCTTTGGTAAAGCTATAGTGCACAGGTACAAGTGTATAAATAATACTAAAACACACACATACACACATTCAAACAGAGAGAGAAAGAGACACGGTAATGTCCGTGCCTCTGAATACACTCAATCTGCAGTTAGTTACTGAGGCATTTATGTTATTTAACTGATCTGGACACGTTCACATTCTTTGAGACTACAGAAAAAAAGAAAAAAAGCAATTAAAAAAACAGCGTCCTGTTTAACGTATATTTCTGTAGCAAACATACTTTCATTTTTTTTTTTTGGACAAAGAAGAGGCAAGAGAGGACATTTTTCCAAGGGCTACACTACCTAAAATCCCTATAGTGTGTCTAATTGGTGTGTATTAAAAAACACAAAGCCAACACGCGCACCATTTCTTACTGTTATTTAAAAGGAAGAACAATCAAGCCTGAACCGATATGCAACACATGAAAACATTCTTATTTAAAAATGAGACTTTTTGTAGTCGGTAAACATTATAAGTGAGGTGTGTTGTGACAGATGTTTGAGTACAGATTAATACCCTTTTCAATGTTAAATGAGGTATAGATCCCACATGTATCTGTCAGAGAATGGCTCAGAGTGATGCTAATACGTTAAAGGAAAGCATAGAAAGCCTTTGTTTTAATGACCTTGAGAGAAACATAATGGTTAATATATGGTTCCAGGTAATGTGAGGCAGTTTCAGTGGCCACACAAAACTGATGATTAATGTGTGAGATAATTAGTAGCGGAATCTGTTATTATGAGTTTGTTGTTTGTTGTTTTTTACAATGGGGCTGCACAATATGGAAAAAATACTAGTATCGTGATTATTTTGCTATGTGTTTCAATTGCAATATGTCTTGCAATATACAGTTGTGTGCAAAAGTTTGAACACCCCTGGTCAAATGATGTTTTGTTGATTTTCTAAGTAAAAGTGTGTCCTTTACAGTAAATGAATGCAAATCTAACATTTTCCTAACATACAGTAAATTTTAGTGCACAATTTGTATTTATTACCTGAATTGTACAGATTGGGAAAAGAATAAAACATAAAATATAAAATGTGCCATAACTTTTGCACACGTTTTATGTTTTATTTTTTCCTGTATGTTCAAGTGAGCAAATAAACAGTAATTGTGCATTAAAATGTGCAGAAGTAACTTATTTTCTTTTAGAAAATCAACCTGTAATTTGACCAGAGACATCCAAACTTTTGCATATGTCTTTATTAAAAACTGGTGAATAAAAAAAAATTTGTGATTAAAGACTGGCCTACATTTAGGGGTGGACAATTTTCTCAAATACATGATATGCCTCATGATATTTAATAAGTTTTAGAAGATGGAACAAACAATAATACAATGTTAGAAATTATGAATATGAATATTCAAATTCAAATTAAACAGGACTAATTTGCAGGCTTTGTAATGAAACATGTAGTTGGTCAGCAGTGATGACCACAGCAAAGCAAATTGTGATGTAATTTATAGGCAGAACAATAAACACTGTCATATTGCCCACCCCTACCTGCATTACTTTGACCAAAATAATGCACTTTAATTGGTCTATATAAATGCTGTGATTCATCAAATCACTCACAGAACATTGTGATTGGTTAGTCTTATTTGTGTATCGTGGTCCTCTGCAATATTGTGATAATGATTGATACATAATATATTGTGCAGCCCTATTTTTCTCTCACTATTCCTGAGCTTCCCAGTGAATGGGCTCCATGAAAACAACAACAAAACATGATGTTAGTCGGTGAAAGTGAACAGTACGCTGCTACGCTGCTCGCGTGATTGGTTATTCATTCTTTTTTTCTGATTGAAATTTTCCTTCTTCAAATATGTGTATGCCACAGGATAAGCCAGGCAGAAAGCTTATCAGGAAAAAAAAACAAACAAAACAAACAAAAAACAAAACATGCAGTTGCAATACAGAATATCCAACAAGTTATCATGCACCAGTTCACCTCACTCGCATTTACAAGCCTAGTCTGAAGGCTTGTTCCACGGTAAACTCCATAGATTCAGTCTGAAACTGCTTTCTTGTAAGTCTGATGCCAAACAATCAAAAAAGGCCTCATAGAACTCCATTCGCTGATTTAGTGATTGGATCTCGCTTAACCAGTCAGAGCACTGAAGCATAATTTCTAATCCTCTAGTACACCCACCAGTTTCTGGGACCAATCAGAACGGCCAGGAGGTGTGTGTGTGTGTGCGTGTGTGTGTGTGTGTGTATATATATATATATATATATATATATATATATATATATATATATATATATGTATGCATGTTTGTAGGCCTCAGGAAAGAAGTAGATCCAGACTGAACCGTGGAGAGGACACATTACGCATAACAATGCAGGAAAGATTGACACACGCCATGTTTTGAGTGGAGAGTTACGAGTGAGAACTGTAATCGCTAACCATACGTACACACATTGACTAAACCAGCTCCCTTGTAACAGTGAAATTACTAATTTACAGTTTTCAAGAAATATATATATATATGAAAAAGCATTTTTTATGAGCGTGTAATGAAGTTTTTTTAAGAGCCAGTCTAGGTGGTTCTAACAAGGTGCTTCTTTTTCTTAAAATAAGTAAGTAAATAAATAAATAAATAAATACAACTAGGTGTAAAATTTTCAGTAGCTGCACATGTACAGTTAGGTATGGTGAATAAAATATGGCTTTTCAGACACATGCAGCTTTCATATGGGAAACAATTATGACAATAATGTAACACTAAAAAAACTACAGTAGCCCGCTGTGTGTGCTTACGAGAAATATATGTGAACACTCGCAGAAATAACTGTTGCTTATAGTCATTATTTTACACAAACGCTGTACAGAGGAAGCCAATTTGCACCACAATTTGTTTCACAAGGAAATGTATACCATTTTAGGACATTTAAATGGTCAGAATTCCTCAAGAGAACCTTAGGAAAACAGTAATAAGATGCTTTGGACCACTGTTACACTGCAAAACTGACACCTTTGAAAGTGAAATAATCTTAAAACTAGTGGATATATATACGATTTCTCATTATGCAATTATTGTACAAACTACTATTCCAAAAATGATGGGACAGTGTGTGAAATGCTAGTAAAAACAGGAAGAGTGATTAGTAAATTCTGTTGGACCTGGATTAAACTGAAAATGGTACAAAACTCAATATTTGATGCTTTCCTTTATAAACTTAATTGTTTCTTGTGAATATACACTCATTCCAAATCTGATGCCTGCAACATATTACAAAAAAGCTGGGATAGGAGCATGTTTACCACCTGTGTTACATCACCTTTCCTTTTAACAGCACTTAATAATAGCTTTTAGGGACTGAAGACAGAAACTGATTCAGTGGAATTTTTTGCCACTTTTCTGTTATACAAGTGTTCAGCTGTATAACCGTACAGGGCCTTTGCTATTGTATTTTGAGCTTAATAGTACACCACACAATTTTAGTGGGGACTCCAGGCAGCCCTGTCTAGCACCTTCACTCTCTGATTACACAGCCATGCTGTTGTAACACGTGCAGAATGTTGTCATGCTGAAATAAGCATGGACATCCCTGAAAAAGATGATGTCTAGAAGGCAGCTCCAAAATGTGTTCAGTGTTAAAAGTGCCTTCACCGATGTGTAAGTTACCTACTAATACACCCCCAATATCATGACAGATGCTGGCTTTTGAACTTTACACTGGTAACAACTTGGATGGTCACATTCTTCTTTGGCACAGAGAAAACAACATGCATTATTATATTAAACAATCAGAGTTTGAGTCATCAGTCCACAATACTGGTTTCCACTGAGCATCACCTTTTTTAAACTGTTCTGCAGACATCAATTTCAGTATGAATGTATGTTCACAAAAAACAATGAAGTTGATAAAATGCAGCGTCTTGTATTTGTACGATTTTTGTTCAAACCGCAGTCAGAGTAAATTTGTAAATCACTGTTTTCTGTTTTTATTTGCATTTTACCTATCGTCTCAACTTTTTTCAAAATGTTATGTAACAATATAATACGATTCTTTAACTTATTTCTTTACATTTATTACTTGTTTTAAGCCATTTTATCTAGATAATTTGTTCTATTGGCAGATAATTTTGTTCGGTTGCTAGATAGAATGACTTAACATGAGTAAAAAGTCTAGAAATATACGAAATGCGTTGGATAATCTTAAAATATTCTCATAATGAAAAATATTAGATATATTGACTGGATTTAACATGTTTTCACTTAGATATTTTTTGCAGTGAAAGGATTAATGCTTCTGTGAATGGATATATATATATATACGTATATGGGCGATCCCCACTATGCTACTGATAGAAGCGAGAGAGAGAGGGAGAGAGATCCTGCTGGTTGTGTAATGCTGTGTTTGCTGTAAGACAGCAATGAAGAGGACAGTGAGTGATTTGCTAAGCTTGTATGTTTTTCTTTTGTTTTTCTTTGTTTGTTTGTTTGTTTTTTTTTTTGTATTATTTTTGTCTGTGTTTTGGCTTTTTGTTCTCTCCTTGGCTTTCCCTCCTCTGAGTTCTAGTGCTAGCGAAGCTGATGGGCTTTGGAGAGAGGGCATTGTTTATTTTCTCCGGCATTAGGGTCAACTCTAATTTGCACGGATTAGATAATGTGATAATTGAGACAGTAGCTGGTTGGTGGTGTAATGTGACGTATGGGGGTGGGGTGGGGGTGGGGGGTGATTTGGGTGTTATGGAGGCACTTTCAATATCAGCCTGTGTCTGTTTTGCGTCGTTGGTTTACAGTACATGATCGTTGTAGATGTGTAAAGTAGCCGCATAGAGGAGCGAATGGTTCTTTCGACCCAGTCAGTCCTGTTTCACAGTCATCTTATCTGTACACTGCTCTGTGTTGATGGAAGTTTGTGAAGGACCTGAAAATAAGCTGTTGTCCCTGTTTATTTTCTGCTTTCCCCCAGTTCTTCTATATATATATACACACACACATATATATATATGTATGAGAATAAATGTTAAAAAGGTTAAAAAGGTTCATAGGACGTATGGGAAAGTATTTTTGAGAGAATTCTATTTTGCTGGAAAAAAATATATATATTAGTACTTTGTCTACAAAGAGTATATGAGATCTTTTGTAAAGTGAAATGTTTATGCATGCTTTTTGACGAAGATGTTTACAGTGTATTTAAGAAGGGAAACTGTGCCTTTTTATCTCACGTGAGTTACTATTTTACAGTATCTATTGTAAATAAATCAGTGAGTTATTATGTTGCGTTGTATGGAACATTTCTACTTTAACCATATGTTTGGGTGTTGATAAAAAAGGACGTTTGTGACTCCCTTAATTTTGTTAATTCGCTTGTCGTGTCCCTGAATACAGAAAACAGAATACAGAAAAGGCCCTATGAGTATGAGATACGAATGTACATTGTGTGAGATATTTACTATCTGAATGTTAGATTCACTACAGCTCATTTTGTCTTTTTTTTTTTTTGTTCTACCCTAATGTGAATTTTTTCTTTACTGTTTGGTGTTTCTATGTTCCTTCCCTCCCCTTTTTTCCCTTTTTGCTTC